TATATATATATATATATGTATATATGATGATATCTTTGGTTCCATATGTTTAATTTTGATTTATTTATTATTGATAAAAGTTTTATATTATGTTTCGGTTCAATCGGATTTGAATTTTTTTGAGTTTGGACATACTCATAACAATACGTAGCCGTGCGTGTGTGTGTATGTATATATATAAGGAGAGATTGAATAAAGTATTTGTTATGTAATTATTTTTAACCACAACAGAATTATATATACGAGTTATTTTGAATTAGAAGCTAATCAGCTCGAACCAACACAATGTATGTGATCACATTAATTTAATTTTAATTTAATATATAATGTTAATTTTTGATTGATTTATACTATAATATACGTACTAGTTAAGATTTTATTTTGATCGGAATTTTGAGAATATTTATTTTATTTGGAAATGGGAGAGATATGCATTGGTGGTGTAAATATATGTATAAGTGAGCCATGTGAATGTATATGCATTTAATCAGTGTTGATTACTATCCGTGTATGTCACTATAGATATTTATGATGAACAAAAATAGAAATTATTTACAATAAATTTGAGACTAGATTCTTTGTTTTCTGCTTTTATAGTAAATCGACACATAAGTTTTACCAAAATTAAGTCATATCAAATTTGATACATTATAATTATATATGTTTATATATAATTGTGAAAGCATTTATGGGTATATTATATTACAATGTAACATACACATCGGCTGTGCATCCATACCCCCCCCCCCACATGCATATATATATATATATATATATATATATATATATCACATATAGAGAGAGAGACGAACATTTTCTCAAAACAAAACCAAGTTGACAACCGACACCGAACAGGATCAAACTCTTCCTTCTCTCCCAATCCTTCGATCATACACACACACACACACCCCTATATATATATATCGACGATATAAATACACATACATAGCAAGAATCGAAACTCACGATCAAGAGAGAGAGAGAGAGCTCAGATGCGGTCGTCGGTGCAGCTCCGCCGCGCGACGTCCTCCGCCACCGCGAACGGATTCCACCAACCGCCGGAAGCCTCGGTGAGGCGCGTGTGCCTGACGCGCGGGATGCATGTGCCGGAGCACGTGGCGATGCACCACACGCACGAGCTGGGTCCCGACCAGTGCTGCTCGGCGGTGGTGCAGACGATTCACGCGCCACCGGAGCGCGTGTGGTCCGTCGTGCGCCGCTTCGACAACCCCCAGGCGTACAAGAGCTTCGTCCGCCGATGCCACGTCGTCTCCGGCGACGGTCTCCACGTGGGCGACCTCCGGGAGGTCCAGGTTGTCTCGGGTCTCCCGGCTGGCTCGAGCACCGAACGGCTCGAGATCCTGGACGAGGAGCGCCACGTCATCAGCTTCAGCGTCGTGGGTGGGGACCATCGCCTCCATAACTACCGGTCGGTGACGACGCTCCACGTGGCGGACGGAGACGACGGCGGAGACACGGTGGTGGTGGAGTCATACGTCGTGGATGTGCCGCCGGGAAATACGCCGGAGGAGACGCTCAGCTTCGTCGACACCATCGTACGGTGCAACTTGCAATCTCTCGCACGAAGTACGGCGATGCGATGAAACCGGCAAATACAATAACAACACATATATATATATATGCACGTATGTATCTAAATTCTCCCTTTGTCCCTTTTTTTTTTCTCTATTTTTTGTGGATCTATGATCGTTTTGAAGGAACAAATTTGTGGTAGTTTTGAGAAATTTTTATGGGATTTGGGTTATTTGGAAGATCGATTTTTCGAGGTGAATTTGTACAATCAAAATTAGTTGGTTTTGAGTGTGTGCGATTTCTAGGGTTTAATAGAAATACATTTGTTTTTATTATATGGTTATGATTATTGATTAGTATATGATATTTACAAAATTTGAATCAAAATTAGTGGGTTTTGTTACAATTACAAACATTAACAAAATCTAGCACGAAATTCCGTCGATTTGCTGTGTGTATGAGTGGAGACCATTAATTGATATTTCTTTGATCTTTATCTCCGCTCTCTGCGTACTTACAGACCTTGGAGGAATTTATTTTTAGATCATTTTATTTCTATGCAGTTTTTCGTAAATTAACCAATTTAGATAGACGCTAAGAATTCGAGTCCTAAGTTGAAAAAAAGAGTGTAATTTGGATCATATAATTTATTTTTGGTCTGGAATATGAATATCTTTTTTATTTGTGTAATTTTACAGTTTTTAAAATATTAGAGTTTTTTTTAAATATAAAAAATTCATTCATGATGGAAGCATTCGAATCGAAAATTGAAAATCATACAGAAACTTTACATCACGTGTTATGTATCGTTTGAACATTTGCAAAAAAAAAAAAAAAAAA